AAGAGTGCCATGAGCCTCCCCCTGCCGCACAACCTGCAGAATCGGATAATGTCCTAATGCTACAGTGAGGCCACTGCGAGAACCATGCCCATTTCCACAAGATCTCCACGCGACACCAGGAGCGCTACTGCTTACAACACCCTAGAAGCCACCCCATTCTTCCATGTGCTCGGAAAGAGCAGCCCGCGGGAATGGCACCCACAGCAAACACTCTCTGAGCCTCCTCACAGAGACATTGTGGCCAAAACCCCGAACTCCCACCACAGAAAAAACTCGTGGCCACCCACAGACATTACTTCATCGACAAGACAGCCCATGCTACAAAGCAGGGCAAAGAATTAGGCCATCTGTAAGAAAACAAATGTGTGTGTGTGTGTGTGTGTGTGTGTGTGTGTGGGTGGGTGGGTGTGTGTGTGCGTGAGAGAGAGAGAGAGAGAGAGAGAGAGAGAGAGAGAGAGAGAGAGCACAGACAGAAACTTTCTCAGGTCTTTCAGTCTGTAACCCTGCAGGTCATTGCAGCTCCTGCTGCTGTGGTCACCTTTACCACACTTGAGAAATAAAATGGTTGACTGTTACGCAAACTCGGGAAAAATGGTTGAGTCTAGCGTTCAAGGAGCAGGATGCAAAACACTCACCACATAATCATCGTCAATGCGAAAGAGGTAGCTGCTTCCAATCCCCATTGCCTCATACTTCTTTTCCCTGAAATCTGATACCTGTCAATACACAGAATATAACTTCAGTTCTGAGTTCTGGAGGGGTAGAAGATCTACAGATTCTACACACACCGGTCCTTCAGGTTGGGCATTGCCAAAGTCTAAGCAAGCCACTCAGAAAGGCAGGAGGAGTGCTGCATAAATCGGGAATGCAATGTGAATTCCATACAGAAGTTTTGCTCGGAGCTTCCTCTCCCAACCGTCTCTTAGTCAGGATCTTGATATCTTTGGCCACTGAAAAGCAACTGAAAAACCTAACTTATCCGCATCACCCTTTCGCCCCAGATCAGCAAAAATTGAGTCTGCATCACCCTTTCGCCCCAGATCAACAAAAATAGAACTGCAGTTAGCCACACTGCTCTCCATGCTAACCATTCTCCTTCTCCTTTGCATTTACCCTCAATAAGGACAGGATTTATGTATCGCACAGATTCGCACCAAATTGTGTGGACCATGGTGTTGGCCAAATGGTGTCATGCGACAGCCCATCCACGCTTACGAAGGATGATGGTGCAATGAGGCGTCTGCTGGCTGCTCATGGTTGCAAACTCGTCCATGCACCATCAAACTCCACACACATTCTTGCCAATATATTAAGCTAGGATGGGTCATACACCCCCCCCCTCCCACAGGGGGGGGGGGGGGGGGGGGGAGGGGAGTTCCCCCATACCAGGGCACAAACATCTCAAGATCTCTCCATAGGCATGGCAATTGTGCATGGAACATGAGGTATGTCTGCATTGCAAAAAAGTCGATCACGTCGTCCGTGAATGTTTCAAGTTTGCCAGAAACAACAGCTCGTACTGGCATCTGAACCAGCTGCTAAGCCAGATTCTCAACCTGCAACCCAAGTACAGGCTGGACTCAAAAGAGCAACACCACAATTTGCCTACATAGAATCTTGAGTGAATTCGGAAGTCATCTATTTTCACACCCATCTACAGAATTAAAATATATAAGAAATCCTAAACTGACTCTGAGTGTTAAACATTGATTTATTTTCATCTCTAGTACATAATGCAGCTTCACCCGCAAAGCACGAAAAGAAAAAGCATTGATTTATTTTCAACTCTAGACAAGGGTACCTAATGCAGCTTCGCCCGCAAAACACGAAAAGAAAAAGCATAATGAACTGTCCCATCATCAGACGAAACCCGTTTGCAAGAAAACAGGAGGACATACCATGGAACCCTTTTTTTTGTTTTGACCTCGAGTTTTGTGTTTGGGCAGCTGTAACCTTTTCAGCATGTTTTTTTGTTTTCTGTTGTCTGCTACGACCCACAAAGCTTTAGTCTGAGATCTGTGTTCGTTTCGAAGAGACGGCTGTGCTAAAGATTCCAACTCCGAGTTTGCTTGCTGTCGTTGGTGAATATGTTTGTGATCTACCAATCTTGTATGTACGCCATGTGGTTACTCGTTGAGTTTTGACTCTGTCTGTGTGTGCAAGTGCATGTGTGTCAGTCTCAGCTTGGTGCATAAGTGCCGTTCAATAATGCTTGATGTTTGGCCTGGGGAAGTTGTCGGAGGTCGTCTTCAATAATAAGAGTGCCACTGATATTAAGCAGGTGTTGTAATGTATGATTAACATATCAGCATCCAATCTGTTTGGCAGTTGCTGTTTGTGGGGGGAGTTCTTGGAAGTAGCGTGTCATGTGAGCCATAATGCTGGGTGCAGTCGGCGTGCATCTTGGAGCATTTCCTGGTTTGCAAAAGCCTGGAAGAATCTCTCTCTCTCTCTCTCTCTCTCTCTCTCTCTCTCTCTCTCTCTCTCTCTCTCTCTCTCT